CTGCAAGACTCGAGTTCTGTACTCACTCTGCGATCCCCTTCAGGTGACGCAAGCAGCACTTTCTCATTGCGCCTATCCGGTGACGATGCAGCTTCGAGCACCGGCCAAGCCGGTGTTGGTATTGCCCTGAGTCCCCGGGCTGAAGCTGCTCTGGTTGATTGGATTCCAATCAGTAGCCGGATGTGTGCGGTCCGATTGGCTGGCTCGTTCAAAACTTCGAAGTCGCGTGGGACTAACAGGTGTCTATTCGTTATCGCTACCTATGCACCGACAAACTGTAGCGATGACTCGGTAAAAGACGACTTCTATCGTCAACTGAACGAGCTCCTTAGCCACAGAAGAAGCTCGGACACTGTAGTGCTGGCTGGGGATCTGAACGCTCAAGTTGGAAAATTATCCGCAGATGAGCTGCATCTGGGCGGCCAACATGGTATAGGCTCCCGTAATGATAACGGTGAGCGGTTACTTCATTTGTGTGAGGATGCTCGCTTATTTCTTGCGAGCACTAATTTCCGACACAGCACCCGCCGGAGGGTGACTTGGCGTCCACCAGCCTCGAACCAGCTATGGACGCAAATCGATCACATTGCTATCAGTTACCGCTGGAGAGGCTGCGTCCAGAACTGTCGCTCGATTTGGAGCACAGGTGTTGACACCGATCATGCACTTGTATGTGCTGACCTGCGGATGCGCTTTGGCGGACGCCCGCGACGATGTTGTGAGCGCATTAACACCGGTAGACTGGTGAAGCCAGCTGTTCTGAATGTCTATCAAATTACACTGTCATCCGAGTTGGATAAACGCTCACTGGATGCAATTGAAGCTCACTGGTCTCATATGCAACAGGCCTTACTAGCAGCAGGCAAATCCTCATGTGGTATGTCTAATCGCCAACATGAACATTGGGTCTCTTCACTGTCTCTGGAACTTATAGATGCTCGCCGGCATATTCCGGCTTGAAGCGAACACAATGAAACTCGCAAAGTGCTCAGGGCGAAACTCCGTGCTAGCCTGAAGAGAGACCGCGAATCCTGGTGGTCTCGTCGTGCAACAGAGATGGAAGTGGCCGCTGCCCTTGGTAACCATCGTGAGTTATTCCGTCTTATACGGGAAATGGGCAGCAGGAGACCTGGTGTTAGTGAAACTATACGTGACGAGAGTGGACAGCCTATTCACAACTTATCAAAACGCCTGGAACGTTGGGCTGAGCACTTTGGAAGGCAATTTAATCGGTCGGAATTGTTAGATTTCTCGCCGACCAGTGATCGCCCTGCTCCGTGGGCTGTTCCTTTGGACCCACCCTCTCGCTCAGAAGTCGAACATGAGATCAAACTGTTGAAGTTAAATAAAGCCGCGGGACCTGGTGACCTTCCTCCAGCCCTCTTCAAATTCGGGGGACCTGCTCTTGTGGATGATTTACAAAAGTTACTAGACAAAATATGGGAGCAGGAAACTGTCCCTACCGATTGGAGCCGCTCCATCATAGTCCCAATTTTCAAAGGAGGTTCACGATCGGAATGCGGCAGCCATAGAGGAATCAGTCTGATCTCCATCGCCTCCAAATTGCTTGCCTCTGTCATCCTTCACAGACTGACTGGCACTCGTGAAAGCCAGATTCGCGAAGAGCAAGCTGGATTTCGTCGAGGTCGTGGCTGCATTGATCACATCTTCACCTTGCGTCAGTTGTTGGAGCATCGTCACATATATTGGCGGCCCACCATTGTCGTGTTCCTCGATATCAAAGGTGCATTCGATTCGGTGGATAGACATGCACTTTGGGACTGTCTACTCAGGAAAGGTGTGCCCGAGAAATATGTGAATATTATCCGAGCATTATATGCGGGTAGCTCGGGCAGAGTGAGGGCTTACGGCAAGTTGTCGTCGCCCTTTAATATCTCCAGCGGCGTGAGACAAGGATGCCCGCTGTCACCTTTCCTCTTCAAGTTCGCTGTTGACGAAGTCATGGAAATCGCGTTCACAGGACACGACTTAGAAGGTGTGGAGCTACTCCCAGGAGAACGACTTCTTGACTTAGAGTATGCTGATGATATTGCCCTGATCTGTGACAGCTCACAAACGTGCCAAGCGGCACTGGACAGATTAGCACTGGCTGTCCGTCACTTCGGACTTTGCTTCGCACCCTCGAAGTGCAAAGCGTTCCTCCAAGATTGGCAGGGATCGCCCCCTGTGCTGACCCTTGGTGGGGATCAGCTAGAAGTCGTTCAAAAATTCAACTACCTGGGAAGTTGTATCAGCGCCCGTGGGATTGAAGATGAAATCACGAATCGTATAGCAAAAGCCCGGGGCGCTTTTGCTAACCTTCGCCACTTATGGCGCCGGCGCGACATCACTCTCACCCTGAAGGGTAGCGTGTACAATGCAGCAGTACGTTCGACCCTACTGTACGGTTGTGAAACCTGGCCGCTTAAAGCAGCGGACCTGAAGAGGCTAGTTACGTTCGACCACCGGTGCCTTCGTAATTTAGCTCACATTTGGTGGGAACACCGCGTGAGTAACGAACGTGTTCGACGCCTTGTTTATGGCACGGGAAAAGGAAATGAACCGCTCAGCACCGTTATTTCACGCATCAGGCTCCGATGGCTCGGCCACGTGTTACGCATGCCAGCCCACCGACTTCCGCGATGTGTGTTGTTTGCGCGCCGGGGGTGTGGATGGAAGAAGAGGAGGGGTGGCCAGGCGATGACTTGGTCCAGAGGAATGAAGGCCCTCACTTCTGAGTTGGCCTCGGTTGGAGCGTCTCGGCTCCCTGGTTGGGGTCCGAAAGACGAAGAACACGTTTGGTTGGACACACTTGCTGATATGGCCAGGAGCCGACCTCAGTGGCGTTCGTGCTGTGAGTTTCTTTGTCCCACCCCATCCCTCTTAGCCTCCCCCTCCAATCACGATCTCATTATTTAGCCTTACATAATTTTGCATAGTAATTTTTTTGGTGCACAGCAGCCGGCTGGTAGTTTACCGGAACGATGCGCATCCGTTACCGGTAGCTCAGCCGGCTTGCACCAGTTGCATTTTTTTCTCCTTTTTTTCTCTGTATTCCGGCACAGTAGCTGAGGTGTTCCCCACCTCTAGCTAACGTGTATGATGATGATGATGATTCCATTGCATCTGATTTATGGTACGTCTGATAAGAAGTGCCAGCTAGTGGTATTTAACCTACCGATCTTTTTGGACTAGCCGCTTCTATCTACCTGTTTAACATCGTACTAAACAAGAAGGCAGCAGCATTGCGCCTCTACGCCATTCCAACACTTCGCTGCCACGCAAGGACAATCAGTCGCGCATGGGATAAGGATACTGCGTGGCTCACCCGGTCCCCCAGGCAGGCTCGAACTCGCGACTTCACATACATGATTACCGTTGTTGCTTGACGCATGACCTTTCCTCGAATCCGGGATTTTCTTTTCTCCAATGCGTCCCAAATTGAAGATATGCGCGTACTGTTTGAAGATACTCCCCAACATTTTCATGTCGTGCAAACTGTGTATGTCTGTCAACCTCTGTATTGAATTATGTTTCTGGCCATACCCATCATTTTTGTAGCGGAATCGCTCGGTCGCTATATACCCAGGTCTGGCCGCCTTAGGGAAAAGCCAGTAAAAGACGAATCAATGTTGCGATATACCTTTCTTGTCGAAGCGTACAATCTTGCTATCTAAAAGAGCCGTAAAAGGTTCTAGCTGGGCGAGAGGTATGGTCGCCAATGCAGACCTCGTGAACACTCTTCGAGATGGAAAACCAGAAGTGCGTGAAGGGCGATTCGTCTGGTTGACTCAAACACCCGTGGTCATCGTTCCAACGTGCGAACTTTCCAGGTTGTCTTGGTAAAAGATGAAGGCACATTTTTATATTGTTTCACACATTGTGTCCAAACAAATAGGGGAATCTTCAGGTAGCTGCAGTCTCGCTGCTAGGGGTGGAAGTGAAATTTACTCCAAGTCTCGTACTTTTGTTTTAAAAGTACTCTTGATCGCTAGACTGAATATCAGGAAGGATTTTTTTAGGAACCATGTAGTACGTATCTGGAATGAACTTCTCTCCGACGCGATGTAATATCGGACCACGATATTCTCCACAGTGAGCCGCAACAGAGATTAGTTAAATCTTTTTTTCTGATTCATCCTCGTATTAGTCTTCGCTGGAACTAATAGCACTATCCTCCAAGTCATTTCATGCACTTTTCGGTGACACAACTTGCCTTCCTCTGTTAACAAAAGCGACAATGGTCAATCAAATGTTGAACTGCTGGCGACTCTGGCTTGGTTACTCGTACATAGAACGGGACGCTCGTTAGGTGGAGACCTAACTTGATCTGAATAGCCCGCCTTTTGCGTGTTGAAACAGCATCTGTTATGTGAATCAGACGGGGTGTAAATTGTGATACTGAATTGTACCTTAGCTCTTTACTTTAATTCGCTTCCATTTCTTCCATCCCTATTGAACTGCAGTAATGACTGACAAAATTTGTCGCATCGTTTGTTTGGATACTGGCACGACGTGTTCGAAAACCGACTACCCTTTATATCTCTGATATCTTTCGGTTTCCTTTCTTCAGTTTTGCACTTGTTTTCCTAATCCTTCTTCCACTCGGTTTCTATTTATCTTCGTATTTCCTATCTTTCTATCAGGGTGGTATTAACAGCTTTTTCAGCCAAAATCTATCCGTGTCATAATTGATAACGGAATTACAACAACAGCTTCCTTGTCACTTGATGTGCAATCGTTGGGTTGCAGATAGTTTGGATCTACCCGCTCTCCTTAGCATATGACGATGTGTTTACATGCTTTCAGGCTTTTCATTGGCACTTTACTTCACTTTTACGATTACTGTTGTTGATTAACACATGATCTCTCGTCGAATCCGGAATTTTCTTTTCTGCAATGCGTCCCAAATTGGAGAGGTGCGCATACTGTTTGAAGAGACTTCCCAGCATCTTCATATCGTGTACAGTGTGTGCATCTGTCAAGCTCTGCATTGAAGTATGTCTCTGATCATACCTATCATTTTTCAGTGTTTCGCTGCCGGAGCTGAAAGTGGTGTTCACTCCAAGTCTCATCCTTATATTTTAAAGGTACTTTTTAAATTTGGACTGTGCATATACAATGTAGCCATTGAAGCTCGGTACGCCCACCGGACTGTTCAACTCTTGGTGTTTTTGGAACCATGATGAGGAACTTAAACTGCTCGATGCTATTGAAACTTATGGCTTTGGCAATTGGTGGGTCTTATGGTGTCAGTTTATTGACCCATGTAGGTTCGAAATTGCCGCTCAATTGCATACCCGGACAGCTGAAGATTGTAAACGTCATTATGAAACATACTACGTAAATGGTCTGATTGGAAAACGCCTCAGCTCGGAGTCTGTCTACCGTTTCAGGATACAAGATCACACATACTTCGAAAACCACTCTACTGATTTTACACTCGACTTACTGAAATTAGAGGACCAAAAGATTTTGGGCTATATGCCATACCGAGATGAGTTTGAATGCGTGAGTAACACCAATTCTTACTCACATTACTACAGGAGTATCTGAATAACGCGGAAAAGACTTTAATAGCCATTCCCTATGACACCACTGATGAGTTGTTAAGGGGTAAGTTCTCAATATTCGGGTATTCATTTCATTCTCTAAATCGGAATTCACCCTTCTCCTAGAATGACTGTCCTACCGGTGGCCTAGTGGTCTGTGCGCCTGGTTTGCGACCATAAGATCACCGATGCGAATCCGCGTAAAGGTGGGCGTCCTCAACCCACGCACGACTGGTGGTGGTCGCGTGGCAGCGAATCGCCGTTACGGATTACAGCTGCCAATTTATTTATTTATTTTATCACCGCAATATATCCCAAGATTATCATAGTGCAGCTAACTCGAACCATAGTGCTTAACACTTCCCAATTACATTCAGAGCCAGTTGCGTCAGGTTAGCGGTTAGAGGACCTGTAGGGCTCAGTTTTATTCACTGGAAACAGTCACTGCACTTAGTAACCATCGTCAGTTATTCCGCTTGATACCTGAAATGGGCAGCAGATCTTGTCTTGGCAGTACTATACGCAAGGAGAGTAGACAGCAAATCCACAGCTTATTAAAACACTTGAGACGTTTGGCCGAATGCATTGAAGCGTAATCAGCTAGAACTTACCCACTTCCTCGTCACCCTTCTTCCTGAGCCGTCCCATTTGATCCGCCATCACGCGCAATCGATTGTGAGCTCAGACTACTAAAATTGAATAACGCCGCGGGAGTGGGTAGACTTTCTCCAGCTCTCCACAATTTCAGGGACCTCGTAGATGATTTGTACAACTTACTAGTGAAGTAGGATCACGACACTGTCCCAGGGGACTAGAACCGTTTCGTTATATTCCTAATTTTCAGGCCGCGCTCAAATTCGGAATGTGGTACTCACATGGATCATCGACCTCAAACTACGACCTACAAAGCGTGGAGTTGCTCCCAGGGGACTTGACTTGAAGTACACCTACGATATTGCTCTTTCTTTTGGCATCTCCCAAACGTGCTAAATAGCACTGGATAGATTTGCACTGACTGTCAATCGTCTCGCGCTATGTGTAGCAACTTCGAAATGCAAGTCTTTCTTCGAGGTTTGCATGAACCCACTCTGACCCTTGGAGGGGATCAACTAGAAGTACAACGGAATTTCAAATATCTAGACAAGCATATTAGCGCTGGGGTTATAGATGAGATCGCAAACCGTTAAGCAAAAGCTCCAGGTGCATTTACCAATCTCCGCAACCTGTGGCGTCGGCGCGGCATCACTCTTGCTCTGAAGCGTCGAGTTTGTAACGCAAACGTCCATTCAACCTTCTTACCCGGTTGCGAATACTGGCCTATCGGATCTACAGCCCTAAAGAGGCTTGTTACCTTCGACCATCGATTTCTTCTCAGTTTGGTTCCATCTAGTGCGAACACAGCTTGAACAATGAATGCGTTCGGCGTTGCGTGTTTGATGCAGAAGGAGCCAGCGAACTGCCGCGCACTGTTATATGACGCAACTGAGTCTGATAGCTGGGCCACGTGTTGCACATGCAAGCACACCGACTTCCGCGATGTTCGTTTGCTCCCCCCGGGTGGATGAAAAAAGAGAAGAGGTGGCCAAACGATGACTTAGTCAACAGAGATACAATCCCTCATTTTGAAGTTGGCGTCGGTTTATGTGTCCCAACTGCCTGGCCGGGTTTGGAAGGGTGATGAACATGTTTAGTTGGACACACCGGTTGACATGTGGAAGAGTCAACCTCAGTGGCATTTGTGTTGTGAGTTTCTTTATCCTTCCTCACCTTTATTATCCCCTTCCAACCACGATCTCATTCCTTGTCTTATATACTATTCTGCTTACTATTATTTTTTCTTTGTACTCCCTCGATAACTTGGTCTCTCCATGTTTTTGTATATCTTTTCTCTTTGTTTTGGGGCGCAATGGCTGGACTGTTTCTCATATTTTGCTAACGTGTAATGGTGACGATGGCTAGTTAATCATTCCTATCTTTAATAAGCGATTAAGATTAGTTCGATGCCCTTTTCAAAATGCTTTCATGCGAGATGTCAGTCAATTTATTTTCTGTTTAGCTTGATCCGCGTAGAACCCTGACATTGCGCTTGCTGCGTTCGCCTCTAGGTCTATCCCATGCATCCTCCTGCTCGACGGACTCCACTAGCGAGCTGTAACTTGATATTCTAACCCACAAGTGGGTGTAAAATAGGCTGATTGTAGCAAAACATTGGGCAACGGTGGTTCTTTTTTATTAATAAATGCCGTGGTTAGAGCCCGACGCGTTTGTCATTTTCCACTATGAGTGACAAAACACAAGACCCGGGCTAACGGCAAAACGAACACCAAGTCTATGATCTGTGACTACAGTCTCTTGCATTCTGTGCTGGCTGAAAAGACTTCTCAGTGCTTTGATCCATGCACCATTCCTTGTTCCATGTCCCATGCGGAGCAGCGCAGGCGATTCACTAAGGGAATTCACAAAGACAAGGTATTGCTGCTCATTTCGGAGGCGAAGGATCTCGGCGTGTATAGGCCCACATAGCTTCATCGTTAATGGCGAGATTATTCTACTTCTAGCTTTATAATGCGGCCCTCCATACAACCCTCTTATACGGTTGTGAAACCTGGCCCATCAAGTCGACAGACATAAAAAGGCTCCTCACGTTCCTTCATCGACGCCTTCGCAGCTTAGCTGATGTCTGGTGGGAGCACCGCGTGAGCAATGAGTGTGTTCGGTGTCGCTTATTTGGCGCAGGAAAAGCACCATTTTATCACGCACCAAGCTCCGATGGCTGAGTCAGGTGTTGCACATGCCAGCCCACCGACTCCCGCGTTGTGTTGTTTGCGCGTCAGGGGTGTCGTTAGAAGTGGAGAAGGGGAGGCCAAACGATAACTTGGTCGAGGGAAACGAAAACCCTCACTTCGAAGTTGGCGTCGGTTGGTGCATCCCAACTGCCAGGCTGGGTACCGAAGGACGATGAACACGTTTGGTTAGACACAATTGCTGATCTATCGAAGAGTCTGCCATAATGGTGTTAGTATTGTGAGTTTTTTTGTCCATCCCCTTCTTTAGATTCCCCCTCCAATTTCGATCTCATACGAAATGCATGATATCTCATTAAGCATTATAGTACTTGCTTTGGATTTTTTTTGCTGGTAGCGTTATTTTTAGTGTCTTATCTTTTTGTATAGCAGCACATTAGCTGAGGAGTGTTTCTTCCCTTAGCTAACATGTATTGCTGATTGCATTGACCAACATTCTACTTAAAGGTGCGCCTTCCACTTATCTGTATCCAAACAGCGTATTAGCTCATTTTTGTAGGTTATTGGCTGTACTGCTTAAGATACCAGAATTTGGACATAATTTAGTCAATAGTACTTTTTGATCCTTAAGAATGGTGAACCTTCCATACAGCATCCTGTGGAATTTCTTCACTGCGAAGACTACAGCCGTGGTCTCTTTTATCTGCTCACAATTTCTCTCTGGAACAAATGCTTGGCTGCGTGTGCAGTTGCTTTTTCTGAACCATCTGCAAACTTATGATAGATAGTTGCCACAACAACAAAATTCGTATCATCTGCGGCTTCCTAAATTTTTCGCCTATTGTTTATGCGTAAACAGTAGATTAAAACATAGCATTCTTTTTACATTCTCAACTGTTTTCTGGCATTTTTCAGACCAGTTCTAGTTTATCTTTGCCTGGAGACTCGTCGGGCGGATCACGTACGCGGTGCAACTGCCATGACAATCGACTGGATGGGTGATACAAGTTATGATCAAACGATCTGGTTTTTGATCAGTAATCAAGATTACAGTGTAGGGTACTGGGCGTTTGGTAGGAAATATCGCGACAGCGCCGCACAGTTTGGCAGTTGCGGAACTAACGCTCAGTGACTGGCACTTAGTCGAAGCAGCACAAAGCAAAACACGTCAAGCACACGGAAGGCAAAACTGTTTTCCAACCAGCATGTTGTACAATGCATCGATCGAGTATTCTAAATTAGGCCAATCGATGGGTGGGTGAGCTTGTTACTGACACGCCAGTAGATGCAAGCAACGAATAGGAAACGCTCTGTACATTGGCCATGAGGATGCCACATTCCTTTTCCCTTTATTTTGGACCACTCCAGCTTGCTTGGTGTCGGTCGACGAGTCGGCGTAGCCGAGTTGAACGACAACATTGCTGCGCCTCCGGTGGGCTTGAGTTTTGTGAGTTCTGCACGTTTGTAAACTCATTATCTTGGTTTGAGGACGAGTCATCTAGTGGAGTTGAAACGGAACGATGCTGATGTGATCCCTGTGCTGTGTAACTACTCTGCCATCAGATAAAACCACCTCCGTCTGTTGTCCCGCAACTCTCCTGGCTCTCAGGTCATTTCGTTGGGCAACTTGACGTAGACCGGTTCATTCTCGCAGAATCTTCGATCGGAAGCCTTCTGGTCGTACTCTGTCTTAGATTTATCTTGCTTAGCCTCGACACGTAGCCTCTGGTCAGGAAACAGAAGATCCAGCCGTGTCCTCAACCTCCGTCCGAACATCAACTCGCCTGGGCTCTTCCCAGTAGTTTCGTTTGGCGTGGTGCGGTAGCCAAAAAGAAATTTGTCCAACTTTGTTCGCAGTGGAGCAGACGCTTGTTTCCGTACCCCGTGCTTGACCGTCTGGACGGCTCTTTCTGCCAACCCGTTTTTGAAGCTGGGTTTTAGGGGGCTGATTTCACATGATGTATGCCGTTGCTTTTGAGGAACTCTTGAAATGCTTGACTAGTAAATACGGAACCGTTGTCTGTTACCAGCGTATGTGGTATACCGAAGGTACTGAAACACGTCCGCATGCAAGAAACGGTCGTCTCAGAGGTGGCATGTGCAAGTGGAAAAACTTCTACCCATTTCGAGTAAACATCAATCAAGAGGAGAAACATTTTTCCATCCAACAGGCCAACGAATTCTGCGTGTATGCGTTCCCAAGATTTACTGGGCCATTTCCAAGGACTAAGTGACACCGGAGGGACATTCGTCTGAGTGCTTTGATACACGTTGCATTGGTGTATCAACTCTTCGATATATCTGTCAATATCAGGCCACC